CAACTGCCATGTGATTGGTTGATTAGATAATTGCATTAATGAGAAATTGAACAGGTGTTCCTAATAATCCTTTGGGTGAGTGTATATTACCTGGCAGACACAGACATCACTGTGCTCCTTAAGATCGAGGAGCGAGGCGAGGAGATTCTTAAACTACATTATCTTTAATCTTTTAGCTTTCATCTGCCCCACCTCTAGTCACATAACCCCTCTAACAGTTTCTGGTTAGACTCTGCTGGCCTCAGTTTACCTGTAGATGTGAAGCTGATCTTCGCAATATCCAATGGAAACAAATCCATCAGATCTCTGCCTTCTTCCTCCCGACGACAGTGCTGCTGTTCCCCACTCTGGTTCAAAGTTAGTCTTTAGCATCTCACAGCTTTATCAGGACTTCGATTTACATCCAGGACTTACGATTCTTAGAACTTAAATTTCTTTGATGCAAGAACAAGGTTTTGGACCCGAGTGTGCATCTTTCATGGGGTGACCAATTTAAGCAGGGATGACCAATCTTATCCAGAAAGTGCTGGTGTGTATGTGGGTTTTTGCTGCAACTCCCCAATTAGATTACTAACTAGAGGACTGATTGAAGAGTTCTCACACCTGGGTTTGAACAGTTGACCTAAAGTTTATCCCAAAAACCAGCATACTGTACACACTGGCTATTTGCGGATAAGATTGACCACCTATAGATGTGCACACACTAACCACAGACACTCACGTGCTGTGTAACACCTAGTCTGGTTACTTTATTCAGTATATGCACCTTGTTCTTTTAGCTCCAGTATCCCAGCCTTCTCTAGCCACTGATGTCATATCCTAAACAGGGATGGTTGTCGTGGTAAGAGTAACCAATCTACATCCTCCTTCTTGAAGACTGAATAACATGGGGTGCTTTGTGCATAAACTCCTAACAAATGTAAGAAGGGACAAATATGTCAACATGCCAACAGAACTAGGAAAACCCCAAGCGGAGGAATAGAAACACCTATATGTCACAAAAATACAATTCATAGAATACATCAGTTAACAACTTGAGCACATGTTTGCGTGTAACGGTTCAAGACTAAGCCATGTAGTCCTTGTATCTTGGGATGGGTTTCAATACTCTCCCCGAGCGTGTGATGACCACAGGTTCGTCTGCCTGTGCCACTGCTGGCTCAACAACGTCAGCCCTTGTGTCTGGTGGAGGCTCTGAAATGGTCAACGAAGATCCAGTGACAGCAGGAGGGAAGAAACTCTCAGGTGTCGGGAGGAGGTAGCGCCTGTTCCTCACATACGTAGCATCTCCATCCCGGACCTGGTAACTGTTAGGCTGCCGCACTCTTCCAAGTACTGTCACTAATCTGTCATATCCTCTGCCTGTTTGCACTCGTACCATTTGTCCTGTGTGCAGTGGGACCAGCGGTCCCTCTGTCTGGCCTGCATTAGAGCTGCCTGAACTTGTGTCTCTACCTTGGGGACGTACATGCTGGTGCTCAAGAACCTCCCTTGGTCCCCTCCAGTGACTGCCCAGCTTGGGTAACCACCCCTTCTTGTGGATGGGGCAGTACACCCAAACTGGGTCCCTGAGGCTGAAGTCCTGCCCACGGCTGCATGTGTCATAAGCATTTTCTGTCAGAAGAGGGTTGCTGCACCTCGCTGTCGCCAGACCAGCTCATAATACTTTCAGACTTCACCAAACACCTGCATCTCATAGTTCCACCACTGGTCACAGTGCAGTTCATCCAGGACACCAAAACAGCAGCAAGTCCTTGAAGAGTTTTTTGGCATTGGATACTGCAGTCTGGTTGGGAACCACGTAGGCTTTGGTGAAATAATCCATGACCACAAGTATGTAGCAGTTCCCAGTGTCATTGTGGACAACCACCCAGCTCTCTCCATAGGCATCCCTGCTGCATCAGCACTCAGGGCTAGCGGCTTGGGCTCTTCGGGACAGTGCAGGTATTACATCGGTGCACATAGCTCCATGTCCTGGTTACCAGTGGGCTAATAAAAATGGCATCAGTGTTCTCTGGAGTGATGAATCACATTTCTTTGTCAGGCAATCCGATGGACGAGTCTGGAATTGGCGGTTGCCAGGAGAACGGTACTTGCCAGGCTGCATTGTGCCAAGTGTAAAGTTTGGTGGAGGGGGGGGGTTATGGTGTGGGGTTGTTTTTCAGGGGTTGGGCTTAGGCCTTTAGTTCCAGTGAAAGGAACTTTTAATGCTGCAGCATTTAAAGCCATTTTGGACGATTTCATGCTCCCGACTTTGTGGGAACAGTTTGGGGATGGACCCTTCCAGCCTTCCCAGAAGAGGTGAAGCTGTTATAGCTGCAAAGGATGGGCCAACTCCATATTAAACCCTATGTATTAAGAATGGGATGTCATTAAAGTTCATGTGTGTAAAGGCAGGTGTCCCAATTCTTTTGGCAATATAGTGTATTTCTAGAGAACCACATCAGGGTCAACAACCTCTGCTGCCCATGGCAAGCTGCTAAGTCTATCACAGACTACAGATGCAGCAGCCCTGCACCCTAAAGGGACACCTCACTGCCTGACTGATTTGCTCATTTGATATAGAAAACAGTGAGCCTGCTATCAGAACCTCACCATCTGAGGGTGAGCAGGCGTGTGTCCTCCAGACCAAACAACTAAGGTACACCCTTCACCGGCCGAGTGCTAGCAAATCGGTGGGGTTGGAAGGAAATGTCTGGACATGTACTCACGGCCTGTGCTGATGATCTAGCAGGTGCCTTTACCAATATATTTAGCCTTTTACTGTCTCGGTCAGTGGTCCAAACCTTCCTTAAATCAACAACCATTGTACAGGTACCAAAGAAACATGTAGTCATTTCCCTGAACAGCCACCGCCCTGCTGCCCGTACCGAAATAATTGCAAAATGCTTGGCAAAAGACTGGTACTGCACAAGAAATTATTGTGAAACTGTCAAAACTGGAGGAATTCAATGCCAACCGCTTATGCTTACAACTAAGAGATTATGGTGAATCACAAAAGCATATTGTACATCATAGGACTCTTTCACATGCAGGTTTTCCAAACTTCCAACTTGCAGGGAGACAATTTTTGGCGATTGGTGGTGGGATTGGCACTGCAGCCACTGTAAAACAACTCATAACTGCTCGATTCAAACAAGCACGATACTCAACTTCTCTCCGCGGGAGTGCAGGAAGGCTGCATGCACCATGAAGGGGATGGGGGAAAGCCTTCGGGAGCCCCATCCCCAGACGAGCCGAAACCGTCGGAGAGCTAATAGGGTCTGGCCTGTTGGGGATCAGGGCTGGTGTGGTGCTGAGGCATCATCTGCTGCATGGCAGCAATTGGGTCCCAGTTTGAGGCGACCCATCCGGGTCGGCACGTGGAACATCTTGTCTCTCTGGCAAGATGATATCTCCTGATATCTTTGCAAGAGGACGGAGATCCAAGTCTTTAGAGTCCTGGTGCTCCCTGTCTTGCTGTATGGCTGTGAGACATGGATGCTATCCAGTGAGCTGAGATGAAGACTGAACTCCATCAGCACTGTGTCTCTTTGGAGAATCCTTCGGTACCACTGGTTTGACTTTGTGTCGAATGAGCGCTTGCTAGATGAGTCCCGAATGACGCACATTACCTGCATTGTGAGGGAGCGTCAGTTACGGCACTACGGCCAGGTGACGCGTTTCCCTGAGGGTGATCCGGCTCGCAGGATCCTCATTGCTGAGGACCCAAGCAGCTGGACTGGGCCGAGGGGACACCCACGTAACACCTGGCTGCGGCAGATGGATGATCATTTCCGGAGGATGGCACAGGACCGTGTATCTGCCTGGGGGGTCGCAGGGCGGGATCCCAAGGAGTTTTGCTGTGTGGTGGATGCGGCAATGCGCTGCATGCTCCCCAACCTGACCTGGCGTGTATACAGACTCATCGTTGTTGCTGATGAGCTCCATCCCCCTATTGCTGTGTCATCTGTGCATCTGTGATCGCTTGGCATTTATCACTGAGTAAATGCAGTCCACCGCCCTGCTGCCCATGCCGAAATAATTGCAAAACGCTTGGAACTGCACAACATGTCATTGTGAAGCTGTCAAACCTGGAGTAATTCAATGCAAGCTGCTTCTAAAAGAAAGTCCTCAGCATCACCAAAGACTCATCCCACCGCTAATGCTGCTTATTCAAACTCTTGCCATCGGGAAAATGCTACAGGTGCATCCGCATCTGCACAAGAAGGCTTAGAAACTGCATTATCCCCACAGCTGCAGCAGGACTGTTCCGTTTCACTGCCCCCAGCTCTTGGTTCTACCTCCTCCTCGCCGATGTGCAATAGAATGCATGGCTTCAGTCACATGTTCTTTGTGCTATTTACACCTCTTTCATATGTGGTACTGTTATCATTTTGCACTGGTCCAACAATACTGGGCATATATTATTGAATATAGATCTGATCCCATCTGTATGTTGTGCGTTTCTATATTATCTTTAATCTTTCTTCCACCACACCCATTACACCTCAGACACACGACCCCTCTGAAAGGTTGTGGTTAGACTCTGCTGGCCCCAGTTTAACTGTTGATGCAACACTGATCTTCAGAAACATCCAGTGGAATCATGAAGTCCCATCAGATCTCTGCCTTCTTCCTCCTGATGACAGTGCTGCTGTCCTCCACTCTGGCTCAAGGTAAGTCTGCAGCATCTCACAGCTTTTATCAGGACTTTGTCAGTATTTTATTTAAAATGATTTATAAAGATGATGGACCCAATTGTGAGATATGAATATAGTTCTAACTAGTTTTTCAGTGTGCATCTTTCATCAGAGTGGCTGTATATATTTTGTATGTAGCCTGTACATACATTTTTGGTTCTTCATGTCTCTCCAGATGCCAATGGACCAGAGGAGTGTTGTTTTAAATACTTTCGTGGAAAACTGAGGATAGACCTGTTAACTGGATATGAAGAGACCAGAAGGGACTGCAGTCGACCTGGAATTATGTAAATATTGTTTTGAACTATTACTGCTTTGTGGTTTAAATGTTGTTGCATGCAAAATGTCTATGACAGAACTGATTTTTAGTTCAGGAAAAAAATGTATAGAGAAGAAATCCAACAAGTAGATGATTTTTTTTTTTATTTTTATTGAATTTTCAGACTTATTATCCAAAAAGGCAAAAAAAAATGTGCCAATCCCAGGGATGACTGGGTTCAGCGGGTCAAGAAGGAGCTGGATCAGCGCCTCAATCAGTAATGCCGTCTGCCTGGCAAAACATGAAGAACAATTTTCTTTATTTCATTTTATATTGTAATTTAATTCTCCATTAACATTATTTCCTGACACCTTCCAAATCGTTTAAACTTTTATTGCATTTTATATTTTAATATTGTTAGTTTTTCATTTTTTTACTGTTCGTTTTTTTTTATTTTTTTTGCACATAATCTGTTTGCAGGCATGTTACCAAATAAGTATTAAAAGATTATGGTGGCTGACTCAGGTTTATCGTTTAAAACATTTCATTTACAAAGTAACATTCCTCCCGACCTCCGGAGGCTCCGGGTGGTGGGCATCTGGGAAAGACAGAAACATTCAATATACAAATTGGTAATATAAATGTATACATTCTGTAAGTATGTAAGTACAGAATATGGATACATATTTACATCCAGCAACAGGATGCAAGGCATTGTTTTCATTTCACAACTGGATTGTAACTTTTTGTTATACTGGTTTAAACATAATTGAAATCATGGATCTGATGGGGCTTCATACCAAACACATAAGAAAATTAAATCTGTGGCACTGCATTAGCTAAACATTTTAGTGTGATTATACATACACTTAGGCTTAACTAAAAGTGGTTTGATCGCAGGCTCAGTCTGCTGTTTATCACACCTGAATCAGGCACCTGAGACAGGAACCAGGGCAGCCATGTGTGACTCAGCATGGAAAGATTAAGCAGTCAGAGCCACTTCAGTTGATTGATTGGTTGATTGATGAAACCCTTTATTGCTGTTGCAATATACCATGTCACTAGTCACAAGTACCAGCAAAAAAACTGGCCATCAACTTGACCATACATATACAAACATCACATACACAAACATTATAGGGGGGCAGACAGGTCAGGAAGACAGGGGACTATAGGAAAACTCAGAGAAACAAGATTACGTGAGGAGAGTGGAGGTGAATAAAAAAAAAAACAGCCCCCAGACTGTACTCCAGTAGGGAGTACAATATAGACTGTACTCCAGTAGGGAGTACAATATAGACTGTACTCCAGTAGGGAGTACAATATAGGAACAGAAAAAAAACACCTCAGCAATAAGCACATAGTCACCACATCTCACAACACTAAAGTCGAGACTTGCAACAGGGGAGGGGAATGGGGAGGTGGGGGTAGTCCAGCATAGACAAACAGCCGTCCGGTCCTGCAGCCAACGGCGCTGTACAAAGACCCGCTCGTTCACGCTGGGGGTCAGTTAGCTGTATATTTACAGGGCTTTATTTAATAAAACAGTATTTACACATCTACCGTCATATTTTACAATCCCAAAGTCTCCAACATTAACTGTACCGGGTCCCTTGGAAATACCATAGTCACACGCAGACCCAAAGGGAATGCAACTGGGATTGAATGTTGATGCAGACAAGGTAGTTTCCAAAATTGTAAACTAAAGGGACATAAATCTAAGTATATAGAAAAGGGGAAAAAACACTTCATAGAACGAATATAGAGAGCAGTATGGCCTACAAGATCACAGATCATAAGTTGTACCCACAATTTCACAGTTTGTAAACCACTTCCAAGATGTCACGCCATGTCACATCCTGCCAAGCTTGCCTGTCTGTGCTGCACCTCCGGCTGCGCACAAGGCCCCTGCTGTGGCACCCCCTGCTGGCCACGAGTCGGCGGTGCCTACTGTGGCACCCCCTGCTGGCCACGAGTCGGCGGTGCCTGCTGCCGCCGCTCCGCCCGTCCTGCCTGTCCCAGCGGTGGACGCTCCGGCCCCTGTGGCCAAGGTCCCGGCTATGCCCGCAGCCCGCCTGCCTGATGCCACCACTACGTCCACAGCCCGCCCGCCGGTTCACCTTCCGCCTACACCTGCGCCTGAGGTCCCTACGCCCACTTTCTCTGCTCCGCCCGACCCTGCTCCGCCTGAGGCTCCTAGGCCTCCGCCTCCTGCTTCGCCCAAGGCCCTGGCTCCTGCTCAGGCGCTGCCTGCGCATGTTGTCCAGGCCCCGCCCTTGCTGGCCCAGTCCCCAGCCCTAGTCCTAGTCCCCGAGGAGGTCCCAGACAATCTGCCCACCGCTCCTTCCTCCTTGGAGGAGGAGCTCGAGTGGGACCCCTCGGAGATTTCCCTACTGACTCCTTTACCCTTGCCCCAGCGAGGCCAGCACCCACGAAGACCCCGCCTTTCAGTGTCCCGTAAGGGAAGGGGACACAAGCGCAAGGCCAGGGCCCCGCCCGCCCTGCCCCCTGGCTCGCCCTCACTTGCCTTGGCTGGGGCTCGGGGTGCGCCTGCGCGTCCTGCAGCTCCGGGTCGGCCGTCGCCTGCGGGTCCCCCTCCGACGCCTCGTCGGTCGCCTGCGGGTCCCCCTGCTCCGGCACGTCATTGAACGGCGCCTTCCCCAGCTCTGGGTGCCCCGTCGCCTGCTGGGGCCTCCCCCTCTTCCTTTCCTTCGCTGGTGCCCCCTCCGACTCCCTCCTTGTCCCCTTCGTCTGTCCCTCGACCTGTCTCCTTGCCCCCTGCGTGGTCCCTTCCTGCTCCTGCCTCCCTGTCACCTGCGGCCCTTCCGGCCGCCGCCTGCCTTGGCTCCCTCGGGCTCCCCTTTGTCCCCCGTCCGTTCCTGTCTAGCCTCCCTTGTATGCTCCTCGTCCCTTTGTCCCTCCTGTCTCTGCTCCTCGTCCCCCTCTGGTTCCTTCGTTCACTCCTGGCCCTTTTGTTCCGCCTGTCGGTGTGCCCTCCTTGTCTCCTTTCCTGGTCTGCTTGTCTGCGTTCCCTGTTTTGTGTCAGGTCTTGTCCTACTTCCTGTCCCTATGCTTGTTCTATGTTTCTGTTCTGTTCCCTGTGTCTCATTGATGTTTTTTGCTCTTGTTTTCCAGGTCCTGTTTCCCCGGCCTCGTCTCGTCCGTCGCCTCCCCTGGGGCGCCTTTGGGGGGGGTGGTTCTGTCACGCCCGGCTTGTCCGATCATCCTGTGTGTCACGCCCCCCTCGTTACCTCGTGTTAATTCCCGATTGTATTCACCTGTTGCCTGTTATGTTCAACTTGTTCCGTGTATTTAGTCCACGTCTGAGTCAGTATTCCCCAGATCCGTCATTGATGTTTAGTCGCCGTCTGTCCCGTGTCTTCTCAATAAACCCGTTTACCGGTGGATTCTCGCCTTCCTGCCTCACCTTTCCCCGCGAGCACAACACTTGTGATGTGTAAGTAATGGCTCTGAGCTGCTGAGAATTTCAGCTCCGCTGAGCGAGTGAAGAGATTATAGCAGGTCTATCTGTTGCCTGCCTCTGAAAAACAGTATCTGAACAAGAGTATCTGAAACCACGAGGCTTCAGGTTTGAAACCATTAGTTTGCAGGGGTTATCACCTAGTGCGTCTCGATGTTGGTCCTTACAACACACATTATGCTAGGTTTATTGCTAGCTAAGGTTACTGATAATGTAAATTTTATTATTTTCTGGGTTAATTTAATCACATACTCAAAATCATATTTGAATCATATTTGAATTGAACATGGAAAATGAATCTTGCTGTTGTTGCTGATTCCTTAATCCTTCAGCTGGCAAACTTCAGGTGGCATGACGGCACCCGTAACCACCACAGTAGTGGCTGCTCAGGAACTCGTCTGCACAGCTGGATGTTTTACTAAATGATCACAGAGGATGTGTGAGACTGAAGGGGAACTACAGAAATATGAAAATCCTAACTGTCACGGATAGCAATGAGGAAACCCCATTGTCGTCTCAGCCACGCCCCTCCGGGACGAAACAACACACTGGATCAAGCTTATACAAATGTCCCAAATGCATACAAAGCAACACCCATCTAGGTCTCTGAGGTCTTTGTTTATCGTCCCCACTTGTAAACCCTTGATCTGTAGAACTAAACCAGCAACCAAAAAACTCCAACACTGTTTTGACAGCACAGCATGGAGATATCTTTGCAGTGGGCACTGATCTTGATAAATACACTTGTACTGGTTTAACCTACATGAATTTCTGCACTATTGATTTAAAAATAAGAAAGCCTTCAAACAACCAAAAACTATGGTGTAACAGTGATTTGTGGAGACTCCTCAAAACACAGGATGCAGCCTTCAGATCTGCCAACACACAAGCCTAGAGAGATGCCAGGGCAACATTATAAAAGGCATGAAGCAGGCAAAATACAAATATGATCTGCTTATTGAGGATAACATTAGGACAAATGCAACAGCTCTCCACCCTCATCCAAAGGGACACCAAGGTGCCTGACAAACTCAATGACTTCTTTGCTCACTTTGATAAAGAATGTGGGAGGATATAAGGGGGGATGCTGGCCTTCCGCAGCCTCTGTAGAACATGGAGATGCTGCTGAGCTTTGTTTGTGATGGAGGCGGTGTGGAGGGTCCAGGAGAAGCTGTCAGCCATGTATACTGCCAGGAACCTCACACTGCCGACTGCCTCAACTGTGGAGCGGTTGATGATCAAGAGATAGCGAGAAGCATGCCTCTTCCTGAAGTCAACAGCCATCTCTTTTGTCTTCTTGATGTTGAGAGGCAGATTTTGGTCCCGACAAC